TGGATATGAGTACCAGGGCGGAAGATACCCAAGATCTTTCCCTATAAGCTGGAGCAGCCTGCCGCTAACGGCCTTCATGTACGCAAAAATATGAAAGTCATCTCCAGTCGCGGCCTGACTGGAGAACACCTTTGGAATTCACGTCGCCTCCAAACAGCTGCGAAACTTCTTGAATGAAGTCATCCACAGATAGCTACCTGGAGGTCAGTACTCTTGATCTGCAAGACCTCCCACATCGACCAGCTACGGCAACGTCGCTACGGTCTAGGACATCATCTTCACCGTATTCGCCGAGGCGCGAGTTGATGGTATGGACCGGGGTACCTGGAAAGGGGAAGACCGATATTTTCTTTGTAGACCCCGACTGAAGGTGAGCGCTGGCGGTTACATCAAGTAACTCGAGAAGAATATCCTCCCTACATGTGGTCGCCCGTACCTTCTTGGAGACCTTGTGCTGCTACAGGTTTGGGTGCCACCACATGGAATCAAAGGGTTTTGGAAAAACTCCCGCCTACTTCGAAAGGAAGGGCGTTTCGTACCTGAAGAAAGATGATAAATATTGAAAGCTTGTCTCATCTGACGCTGAATCCGCACCTCAGTTACCTAGTCGGGTGGGAGTATTCAAAGAGGGTGGTCCTACGGTGGCGGAGAAATCAACGGGCTCGCGTACAAGCCCCGGTACCACTGCACTTTTCGCAGCGGCCAAATCTCTCGATGGCGCTCCTCCAGAAGGCTGTGGCGGAGTATCATTATAGTATTTGAATGTGCTCTTTAATATGGTAGTAAAAGTGTCCGATAAAAATTTAATAAAGTGTAACTTATAGCGCCTTGAAAGTCATGGAGGCAAAATGACTTTTTTTGCCCCCCCCCCCCCCTGTATGTTGATTGCGCGTGTCCTGATCCCGTTGGCGCAGCTACCACTTCGATTGCTTAAGAGCCCATTCCAACTAGCCGTCGACTCTTAACTACGTGCCACAAGTAAGACCCCATTGGCGACTACTTTTCTCATCGATACCAGTACAACCTTTATAAGGACCCTATAGGCAGCAACTGGCCGAAGTTGCGAGTGATTTAGAGCCCATTCAGGCTCAAAAAGTCGGTTTCCATGGACTTCTTTTTCACTCCATTTTTGGCATTCCCAGAGGCGTTCAGGAAAAATGAACACCAGTTTGGTACTCCATGCACGTGACCCCACATCATGCAAAAAACCGTTTTCAAAAAGCGCTCCACGTCCTGAACGACCTCCCTAGTTAGAGGCAGTTGAAACGATAAACCCCTGAAGACGAGTAGGATTAATACGACTGGCAGGACGGAATTCCGTGACCCTGAGCAGGCGCTGCGTAGCGCCTTTTCCAAGGAGGGTACCCTTATAGCGCCCTATTGAGCAGCAACATACCGACCCGGACGCCCACCTCGCCCGCCCGCCTACCATTGGACGTATAGCATCACAGCACGAGGACGTGCCGTTGTGGGTTGCCCATGCCTACGTGTAATGTATTTTATTTATTTATTATATGCACTCCTAGGTGCGCTACATTCCTTGATACCATAATCAGGTCGGGACTAAAAGAAGAACGAAAAGAAAAGAAAAAGAATACAAAAAACACCACAGAAACGTAACACAACTCAAGAGAACAACAACACCACAGAAACGTAGCCCAACTC